AATTTTCAATAATTTCAAGAAGTGCAGAAGAACACTGATGTTATTGGTGAAAGTTCTTAAACTGTCACAAAACTAAAGAAGAATTAGTACATGTTCATTTGAGAACCATGGGTCACCATCAATTGAGCAGGCCAATTAAGCAGATCTATAACAGTAATCCTGCGACAATGTCTCACAATTTAGAAAAATGCATGAAAAGATGACAGTAAGTACATGTATTGTGTCTTAGACTCTATGTAAAAAAAAACTAAGCAAAGTGAAGAAGTATCACATTCTTAGATGGGCCATTAATTCCAAAAACCTGTAATCTTTTTGTTTCATCTCCTTCAAAAAAAAATTTGTATGTGCAATATATACTATTGCCACACGATGTCTCCATTTCTTCAGTCATTTCTTTTTGTCATCTACTGTTTGGATCCAATGGTTTGGTTCAGGGGATTTAAAACTGACTATAAAAACAAAAACTGGATGAAATAACATCTTAACAGCTTTTTTGAGTGGTTCATTTCCAAAACAGACATTTCTCTTCCATAACTTTCCTGGCAATTATCTATTATTCCAGAGCACACAATAGCTTCTCCATTTGTGTTCTGATTGTTGCAACAGATAGTAATCAGGTAATTGCTATAAAGACTTATAAAATATTCCCTACAATGTGATTAACGTCAAGCAATAAACACCTAAGAACCGTCATGCCTACCTGCTACCCCTAACAGGTATTCTGCTTTTAGAAACTAAAAAGAATACTATCCTCTGGTAGTATGGGCACCAATGTTATCTGTGCAAGCTGAAGATAATAAACTAAAGCAGAAGCTCCCCACCTATGGCATGATGAAAACACCTGACCTATGGCATGATGAAAACAAAGAGCAGGCTTAAGCTTTGGAATGAAAGATGGAATAGAAATCTAATAAATAAATAAGTCCTCCATTAAAAAATGAAGAGGTTATAGAGCCTTGCTTTAGAATAACAGAGTTGGAAGGGATCTTGCAGGCCTTCTACTTCAATTCTGCTCAAGCAGGAAACCCGGCCTATACTATTTCAGACAAATGTCTGTCCAGTCTCTTCTCCGGTATTGGAGCATTTACAACTTCTGGAGGCAAGCTGTTCCACTGATTAATTGTTCTGTCAGGAAATTTCTCCCTAGTTCTAGGTTTCTTCTCTCCTTGATTAGTTTCCATCCATTGCTTCTTCTCCTGCCCTCAGGTGCTTTGGAGAATAACTTGACTCCCTCTTCTTTGTGGCAAGCCCTGAGATATTGGAACACTGCTATCATGTCATCCCTAGTCCTTTTCATTAAACTAGACATATCCAATTCCAGCAACTATTTTTTATATGTTTTAGCCTTCAGTCCTCTAATCATCTTTGTTGCTCTTCTCTGCACTCTTTCTAGAGTCTCAACATCTTTTTTACACCATGGCAACCAAAACTGGATGCAGTATTCCTAATTTGGACTTACCATGGCATTATAAAGAGGTATTAACATTTCATGTGATCTTCATTCTATCCTCTGTTAATACAGCATAGCATTGTGTTGGCTTTTTTGGCAGCTGCATCACACTGCTGGCTCATATTTAAGTGATTGTCCACTAGGATTCCAAGATCCTCTCGCAGTTACTACTATTGAGCCAGGTGCCACCTATACTGTACCTGTGCATTTGGTTTACTTTTTTCACCACGGAATTTCATTTTGTTAGATAGTGCCCAATGTTCAAGTCTGTCAAGATCCTTCTGTGGAGTAAGTCTATCTTCTGGAGTGTTTGCTGTTCCTGCCATCTGCAAATATGATGAGTTCCTCATCTATCCCCTCATCCAAATCATTGGCTAACATAAACTTTCTTTTATTACTCTAACTGCTACCTGGGATGAATCAAGAAAAGTTTATAAGAGCATAACAGCACAAAAGAAGTCCTGCTAGATATACCATAGGAAAAGATTTTGTGTCACATAATGGCATCTACCCTGGACTTGAGGATGACAAATTCCTTCCACTGTTAGTTCTCAGAAATCAGAATAGAATGCGTACTGCTTGTGATTCAAGAGATGGTAAGGAGCCCGATGATATCAGTAGCAACTGATAACCTGATTCTCAATGACCCTCTCCCATCTCCCTTTAAAAACAATCCAAATTTGCTGCCATTGCCACCATTCTACTGTTATGCATCTGTGTGTGTATGTGTGTGTGTGTTGTTGTTGTTGTTGTGAGGGATTTCCTTCTGCTGGTCCTAAATCCCCCGACATTTAGTTCCAAAAAATTACTTAGTTGTAAGATAGTGAGTTAGGAAGAAAAACCTCCTCTCTCCCTGTTATCTATGATGTGCATGGCTTTATATATCTTTTTATGTCTCCCCTTTTCTTCCTTTGTTGTAAGCTAAAAAAAATTCATATGCTGAAACTCACTAACTGTTTCCTAATTTTGGTTCCTCACATTTTGATATCTTTCCCAAGAGTTAGTGATCAGAACAGTACACAACACTCCAAACTTAACCATAGATTAATATATGTTGTTATATCAACAATTCAGTTCTGAATTGCTTTCCTAATGATTAGCAAACTTGCCTCAGCTGTTAGATTGCTTTTACTAGAATTTATTTGCAACACAATAAGCTGTTGATATATCTAATCTGTATTTTCACTAACACAGAAATACTGTTCTCTCCATAATATATAACAATTTAAACAAAACGTATCAATTTATACTTATTACACTGTATATCCTGCTTTCTTGGGACACTCTAGAATAATGGATTGGTAGCATTAGTAGGCAGCAGATAAACTAATATATTTAACTTTTCATAGATAATATATCAGACAAACTGAAATAGATAAATAAAAACAGAAATAAGGAGATTGCGAAGCATTGTATTGTTCCAATCTTCTTGTACCAAGTGAAAAAATTCTCTAATCTCTGTTGGCATGTTTTTATTTATTTATATTTCATTTTTTTTAATCAGCCATCTCCCTTGGAGAGGGGCTCTGGGCCATGTATAATGCTACATGTATTATTCATCATCTAAAAGTAAACAGGGCTCTTGGGCTTGCTAACCCAATCAACTGTTTATTAGATCCAGGACTTTACAGGCTAAAAAAGGCCACTAGAAGTAGTATGTGGTTGGAGACATTGACAGTGCCAAATTTGTTGTTGTGGGGTGATAGTCCAACTTCCTTGAAGAAGAAGGTAGTATGCCCTCTCTGCTGGAGGCTATTGCTGAGCCCAACAATTCTGAATAATTTTTGCTCAATTGCCAACCCCCATTTTGGGGGGTACTCAGAGGTAATTTCAGAACCCCAGAAAAAATAATCTGGATCCTTTTCAGTCAAATTTCAGACTAGAACATAATTCTGAAATGGCACTGGTTAGACTTGTTGAAGAGCTTTGGTAGAGCTGAGTTGGGGGTGGTGTAACCATTCTGATCCTTTTCTTCTTTCAGGAGCTTTCAATTCCACAGATCATGGTACCAGCTATAGGGATAAGGAGTGAAGCAATGCAGTATTATGGTGGGTTCATATTATTGTGTGGGTTCTCTTTCTTTTTCTGTGTTTGGTTTCTGTTGGTGTGGGTAGAAAGTGAAAGATTGAGCCCAAAGCTTCTGATGTGTCAGGTACAATAAAGCTCCTCCTGTTTAATATCTACATGAGATCATTGTGTGGATGAGGTCATGTGCAAGTGATACATGGTTCAACAGCAGTAACTGTGAGAGTGATCTAAGAGTCATAGTGGACAATCACTTATGTATGAGCCAGCAATGTGCTGTAACTGCCAAAAAGCCAATGAAGTCCTAAGATGCATCAAGAGAGAGATAATATCAAATCACATGAAGTGCTAGTACCACTTTATAATATCACATTTGGAATACTGCATCCAGTTTTGGTCACATGGTACTAAAAAGGTGTTGAAACCTAGAGTTCAGAGAAGAGCAATGGAGATGATTAGGGGTCTGGAGGTTGAAACATATGATGAATGATAGCAGGAACTGAGTATGTCTAGTCTAAGAGAAGCACTAGTGGTGACATTATAGCAGTCTTCCAATATTTGAGAGGCTGTCACAGAGAAGATGGGGTCAACCTATTCTCAAAAGTACCTGAGAGCAGGATAAGAAGTAATGGACAGAAGTTTATCAAGGTGAGATCCAACCTATGGTAGAACTAAGGAGGCTTGCTTCCAGAACTTCCAAGTGCTCCATCATTGAAGGTCTTTGAGAAGAGATTGAACAGCCATTTATCCAGAAAGTTATAGGGTCTTCTGTTTGAGCACTGGGTTGGACTAAAAGACCGCCAATGTCCTTTCAATTCTGTCATTCTGTATTCTGTAAAGGAGATAGCTCTAAAGAAATCTGGAAAAAAAATCAAATTTTCTGTGTGAGAGCTTGATAGGGAACTACAAAATCCCATAGAGAAAATGAATTCTATGTTCTATAGAAAAATGATATTGCAAGAAACAGATAGATATTTGGTACCATATGTCAAGTTGACTATACCTTTAAGAATTTACACGGTCTTAAGAATCATCCTTCTGTGGCTTTATTACAAGACACAAAATATTCATGCAAATTAGATGCTTTGTTTTTCATCTGTGCAAGTGTAAAATATGTTGAAAAGGTTATAAATATCTTCGCTCATTATTTTTAACCCACTGGGAACAGTAGATGGTGTGATTTGAATGAGTTTTCATTGCCTTTAATCTATTTGATTCTTTCTAAAACTATTGTGCATTATTTAAATTAGTTAGGAGCGTACGTAAAGCAGAGAGAGAGAAAGAAAGAAAAGGAATACCAAGAGGATTTGCAAAAGTACAATAAATAGAGGGAAATTGGCAGGGTACTAAACCTAATGTAACAAGGTTTGGGAAAGGCATACCACCGCTACCGAAGAACAGAAAACGACTATTGTACATCAAAGGGGACAGATAGAACGGCAGCTGCAGTTAGTTACGCGATCGCTGAGTTAAAAGGCTGGCAAGCACTGCAGTCCCGCCCTCTTTCCGCCAAGCCCCCGATGGGCGTGGCTTCTCTTCAAGGATAAAAGCTGGAGGACGTGGGTGACTCATTCTTTTCGATTGTTGGGGGAGCTCGGTGTGCGGTTGTTGTTGGGAGATGAAGGAGTATTCGGTACTGAAGGAACAAGTTTTACACTGGTTAGTTTCAGTATTTGAATGAGTGGCCGGGCCGTGGTAAGATACAAGGCATTTGCTGGAACTTTTTAGAGTTATTACGAAGGCGGGGAAAGTTGAAGAGTTGTGGCGCATGCGCCCTGCCGATTCTTCAATTTCTGAGGTTGAGCTTCAGCAAGGAATGGCGGGGCTGGACTGGGAGAAGGCCACGAAATCCTTGGTAAAATGGCGGGCGATTATTAGAACCCCCTTTCCAACGGACAAATCAGGAGGGATAAAGGGAAGAATGGAGAGGCGCTCCAGGACAGTCACGAGGGAGCCGACATTGAGAGGGAGCCGGTTGATTTTGTACTGGCAAAGCAAATAACGGTCGGTTCCTCACGAAGCAGTGAAGGCCGCACGTGGCCCCGTACCTCGTGAAGAGAGGGAGTCTGCTTCCTTCTCGCCTCCCCCCCCCCCACCGAAGCTCTTGCGCGCGTGTCTCGGGACGCCATGCTTCCATGGGACCTGCCAGGGTGGCAGCCTCCCTTCCTACTCATGGCAGAGTAACCGTCGCCTTGCTTTTTGGCATAGCTCCCCCCATATGATTGCGGGGAGACTCTGACTTGGGCAAGTCACATTCTTGTGTCATCCTATGCAGTTTCGCGGAGGGGGGGGGGTTGCTTTGGAAACGATATGGTGGCCTGGATGAGGCTGCCTCTTGAGACGGATGATAGTCATTGAAAATATATCTTGGGTAAAGCAGAGTTTAAATATTTTGAGAGGCCTGCAGATCTGTAATATGAAGCTGATCTTTCTCTTTTAAAACGAGTTTTGGGATTGATAGTCGATGATCGAGAATTTAAAGGCATTTTCTAACCATTGAGAACGGTACTGGGTGGGGCGGAGTGCTACACATTTTGCTAGTTGGTATCTTGGATTTATGAAAAAATTTAATCTATGTAAATTGAACATGGTAATAACTTTTCGACTGCAAAAGTGATTTTTTTTTTCCTGTTTTGCAGGGTTGGTATGCATGCTGCTCTGATTCTGAGGATAAATACAAGAAATCAACTTGTATGACAAGATCTGCAATAATTTCTAGAAATCTTGCAGTGTATCTTCTGAGGAATAAACCTGGTATAAAGCAGTGCTTCAGAGCCCAACTAGACAGGATTAACCTTCTTGCCCTTAATCTTTATTTTATTGCTTTTCCCAGTGTAATGGCTTTCTCAAGGGAGCTGGCTTCATTTGTTCATCAATCTGGCTGAATTTGTTCTCTGGCTATCTAGGGTACTCTCAAAAGGAGTCCTTGGTGCTCTCTGAGCTTGGTTGCTTTCTTGATATTTCATTATCCAATTAGGCAACATCTTCAGGGTTAGAAAAACAGCAGTTTGCCCTCAGACACAGCTAAGTTATTGCAGAACCACCTTTCCCTAAGAATATCTACTCATCATACCAGGTCAGATAGGGCATGCACTCTCCTAGTCCCTTCACTTAAATTTTGCCATCTGATGGGAGCTAGGAAATGTGCTTTTTCTATGCCAACCCCTGCCTTGTGCTCCCTGATTTTTGGCAGACCCCTACTCTCATAGCCTTGTAAAGCTTTTGATGGCCTGGCTTTTCACCCGAGTATAAGATAAGATACTATGATTTGGCTCAAGGTTTTTGATATTTTAAATGTGCATTATGGTGTTTGTTTTTACTTTTGATGAGAGCTGCCCTGAGTTGATTATAAAATGGGCTGCTATATAAATATTACAAATAAATGACATTAATATTTGGGCATCAGTGAACTGAAATGATGAACTGGACATTGTCAGCCATGATTACACAATCAGGACATAAAAAATGAAGCAGTGATCTTAGTCAAAAATATAGCTAAGTTAATATTTGGGTTCAATGCAGCAGTGACTAGTATCAGTTAGATTTCATGGTTAACCTGTTATTACTGTGCAGGTGGTCCTCAACTTATGACCATAATTGAGCCCAAGATTTATATTGCTAAGCAAGACATTTGTTGAGTTTTGCTCCATTTTGTGACCCTTTCTTGCCACCGTTAAGTGAATCATTGCCGAGTGTGAGACTGGTTTACCCATTAACTCTCTTGTCAGGTTGCAAAGATGCTTACATGATTCCAGGACACTGCAACCATCGTAAATGTGAGTCAGTTGCTAACTGTCTGAATTTTGATCACAGTGGTGATCAATGGAAAGAAGTGTGAAAAATGGTCATTTAGTCACTTTTCAGTGATGTAGTAACTTTCAGCAGTCACTAAATGAACTGTTGTAAGTTGAGGACTACCTTTAGTTAATCAAATACCCCAACCACTGATGCACATTGAATATATCCATTGGTAGACACTGAAGGAAGAATTTTATTTCAATAGCAGAGTAAAGTGAAAGAACAAAATCTAGCCAGAATGGTTGTTAGCATGTACTTGTGACATAAATGCAATAAAAACGTATTGAGATTCTTTATGTTGTGTTCTCAATTCATTTTGGAGGTGCATCCTTTAGCATTTTGTCCTCTAGAAAAGTTGTACTAATTTCCATAAATACAGAAAAACACATTGACTTTAGTTTTGTTAATACTTGAGATTGTATACTCTCATGGGCCTTATAATCTGGCCATATATATTTCAAAGATTCTCAGTCATCTGAGTAGAGTTATCTGGAAGTTGAGTCATTTGGATTTCTTTTTTTATTTGAAATGCTTTGCTGCTTATCCAAGTAGTTGCAAGTTGGTTGTGGGATCCCTGTAATACTCTTCAGGTTGGTTCCATTTCTCATCTAATCTGAATAGGTTGGCTCAGAGAGTAGGCAAAGAGTTAAGAATTACTCCTAAATCCTTTCTTTGTGAGTTGTTAAGTGGGACTTCTCAGCTGAACCTGTAAAGTCTTGGTCTTTTGGACAATACAGAAAATAAAGCCCAATTTTCCCATAGGTCATGTTATGAGAAGCTTGTGAAGGAAATAGATTTGGGTGTGTATAAATCAAGAGAAAGAAACACTTTTGCTGAAGGTATTGTATAAGTTTGATGCCTCCCAGAGTCATCTTGTAAGAAAGATGGGCAGCATAAAAAAGACTAAAGTTGAGGCAAAATTTTGCAAGTCTTAATGGATTAGAGGAAAAAATGGGTCTCAAGTCTGAAGTTTTCACATAGTAGAAAGCAAAGGAAGTCTACTGATGGCATAAGTAAATTGATAAGCTGCATATGTCTTTAGATTGTTGCATTCTTTATCACAGTATTTAATATAATATGGAAGCCGCATTCTGCAGTATCTAACCAACATTAGCTAATTGTTAAAAACTAGAAAAAGACAGGAAATCCAAAATAAATGCCGTAAGTATTTATTAAGGCCTTATTTAGTTTAGACAATATTAGACAAATTAATCATACTTAGACAAAATAATGATGAAAAGAATCCATGAACTACAAGGTTAAATATGCTTTCTAAAATTAATTTGTAGGTATGTTAAATATTTGATAACATTTAATTTGGGCATAACTTTGGTCATTACAAAAATGGGTCTCAAGTAATTTACAAAGTTTGTAAAAAGCTGAGGCAATAAGAATGCCACTTTTAACAAAACTTATGTATTATTTATTATCTTACTGAGAAATAACTTGAAATAATCGCTGAAAAATCTAGGGTGTTTATTCCAATACAGCAGAGAACAAGTTGGGGAAAACTAAGATTACAGTATAAAAGTAAAGTCTACTATATGATAATAAAATCATTTTAGCTGATATTTAAATAATGAATTGTCATAAAACACATATAAGGCTGCCTTTACCTACCTCATTAAAAACCACAATTTAATAAATAAACATTACCTAATCTTGACATTTTACAAGATATTTTATTCAACTGTTTCATGTACAATGAAATCAGGGCAGGAAAGTTTTCTGTAAAGATAAAACGCAGTATAAAGTCAATTAAAATTCATTCTTTGAAACTAGTAGGGTATACAGTTCATTGTAGAAAATTTGTCACAATACAAAAAGATAAAAATACTATATATGAGGACCTTATATATAGAATGAACTGATTTGTGCAGCTGTAATCAGTACTGTTTTGTCTTGGTGGAATTCATATTCAATCAAAATTACTTCGAGGATGAATGATTTTAATGTCAAAAGTCTATGAAAAAAAATATTTCCCCAGTACAACAAGGGACATTCATAGTTTGGTTATGCTTCTTATCCAAGGTATAAAAAAAGAAACTTTGGTATAGACACCTGGAGAATCTTTGACTCCACATCCATACCCCCAGGAAGTCACACCATACACGACCCAGATATTTCCTTCCCGTCCGCACATTAATGGTCCACCACTGTCTCCCTGACAACTGTCTACCTGTTTTTGTGCATGGAGGCTACCAGCACATAGCATTCTCCCTGTGAATTTTGTGTGATACCGTTCTTCGCAAATTCTTTTAGGAATAAGGGGAATAGCAGCTTGTTGTAATGTTCTTGAGTAGGCTCTACCTGATGGGAAAATATTGAAATTAAAATGCTGAATAGTAAGCAAATGCTTATTCTTAAAACTTTGTTTTACCAAACAACTGAAATATTAGCAAAACAAATCAGGTCATTCAGTGAGGTCTTTTGTTTATATCAAGAACATAGTAATACACAATCCTGCAAAAAGAAATCAATGTTTACTGAACAGTTAAAAATGGCTTGAAAGATGAAAATTTTCTGGTGTTCCTTATTTACTACAGTAACAGAAATAAACTTTATAGGAAGCTGTACTTTTACTGTCTTCTTGTATTCAAACTTAGCTTGCCTTTTTTATAGATAAGGGCATCTTCACAGTTTAGGAAATATTTTCATCTGCAATTTTTTATCTAGATTATGTCAATTCTGCTTCAGTTTGAGCTGGAATACTGCAATTCAGGGTGAGATGTTGATTCAAGTTTCTGATTCAAAGTTCAATGGAAATGTTCCGTTTCAAGTGTTAATTTGAAAAATGCATGGACTATAAAGAAGTTTCAAAATTTCTGATATTGTTTAACTTTGCAGCAGAATGCAAAGAAGCAGAGGTGGTAGAGGAAAATAGGTAATTTTAAGCTAGCCAAATTTTAGTTTGACCATACCAGAAATCATCAATAACAGTAATTGGGACTGGAATTCCTATCACTACAGTGTCATAAACTATGGTGTCATGTGAACACATTGCTTAGCAACTACAATCTTAGCAGCTCTTCTTTAACCAAATCTCAACTGGCCATTACGTGCAGATTCGCTCCGATCCAAGTCACTCCAAGTTTGTTCTTCCCAGCACTGAGCCTCGCAAAGCAATGGATTGCCACCTCCGCAACTCACTCCACTCCCTTATCCCCCATCTACAACAATGGAAAGAATTATTTGATCCCCTGCTGATTTTGTACATTTGCCTGCTGACAAATGATTAGTCTATAATTGTAATGATAGGTTTATTGTAACAGTGAGAGACAGAGTAACAACAAAAATATCCAGAAAAACACATGTCAAAAAAGTTATAGATTTACATTTTAATGAGTGAAATAAGTATTTGACACCTTTGCAAAATATGACTTGGTACTTGGTGGCAAAATTCTTGCTGGCAATCACAGAGGTCAGAAGGTCCCACTCCTCTTTGCAGATCCTCTCGAAGTCATTACGATTTTGAGGTTGATGTTTGGCTTCAGCTCTCTCCACAGATTTTCTATGGGATTAAGGTCTGGAGAATGGCTAAGTCACTCCAGGACCTTAATGTGCTTCTTCTTGAGCCACTCCTTTGTTGCCTTGGCTATGTGTTTTGAGTCATTATCATGCTGGAATACCCATCCACAACCCATTTTCAATGCCCTGGCTGAGGGAAGGAAGTTCTCACCCAAGATTTGACGGTTCATGGCCCCATCCATTGTCCCTTCGCTGCGGTGAAGTTGTCCTGTCCCCTTAGCAGAAAAACCCCCAAAGCATCATATTTCCACCTCCATGTTTGAAGGTGGGGATGGTGTTCTTGGGGTCATAGGCAACATTCCTCCTCCTCCAAACACATTGAATTGATGTCAAAGAGCTCGATTTTAGTCTCATATGATCACAACTCTTTCACCCAGTTCTCTGAATCATTCAGATGTTCATTGGCAAACGTCAGATGGGCCTGTACATGTGCTTTCTTGAGTAGGGAGATCTTGTGGGTGCTGCAGGATTTCAGTCCTTCATGGCGTAGTGTGTTACCAATTGCTTTCTTGGTGACTATGGTCCCAGCTGCCTTGAGATCATTGACAAGATCCTCCCATGTAGTTCTGGGCTGATTCCTCACCGTTCTCATTATTGAAACTCCACGAGGTGAGATCTTGCATGGAGCCCCAGACCGAGGGAGATTGAGAGTTATTTTGTGTTTCTTCCATTTGCAAATAATCACACCGTTGTCACCTTCTCATGAAGCTGCTTGGTGATAGTCTTGTAGCCCATTCCAGCCTTGTGTAGGTCTACAATCTTGTTCCTGGTATCCTTGGACAGCTCTTTAGTCTTGGCCGTGTTGGAGAGTTTGGAATCTGATTGATTGATTGCTTCTGTGGACAGTTGTCTTTTATACAGGTAACAAGCTGAGATTAGGAGCATTCCCTTTAAGAAAGTGCTCCTAATCTCAGTTTGTTACCTGTATAAAAGACACCTGGGAGCCAGAAATCTTGCTGATTGATAGGGATCAAATACTTATTTTATTCATTAAAATGCAAATCAATTTATAACTTTTTTGACATGCGTTTTTTCTGGATTTTTTTGCTGTTATTCTGTCTCTCACTGTTAAAATAAACCTAACATTACAATTATAGACTGATCATTTCTTTGTCAGTGGGTAAACATACAAAATCAGGGGATCAAATAATTTTTTCCCTCACTGTTAGTCAGCCCTACACTACACTGGCCCTGCTATCCCCCACTTTCACAAGACTTTCAAATTGGACAAGGGGCCAATGTGGCCTTGGGAAGAAGGCCTGGTTAGCAGCTGATTTGCAAAGCGCAAGATTAAGCGTGCCTCATCAGCTCAGGAGGAAGAAGATGGTCAGTTGGGGATAGAAGGGACTGCAGAAGTAGCCAAAAGAGCAAAATTGAAGGTGACAATAGGCAGGTGGAGGGAGTTGGTGCTCCTGTAATAGTAAACACAGGAAGGCTGCTAAGAACCTGAATTTTGACCCTGAGGGTGCTGCAACAGCAGTAACTTCAGGAACCCGGTGTAACTATCATTTAATCAGCATTGCCATAATTTCAAATAGTTGCTGAACAAATGATTGTTAAGCAAGGACAACCTGAAATAAATGTTTAGCTATCCTATAGAATTATTTCAGAGAGCAGCGATGAAGAAATGGCAGCAGAACAGTTTCAAAGTAGTTTAGCAACACACCCATGAAGACTAACTGAGGCAATACAGAAGTATTGTCTTCCATTTTACATTTTTCAAAACTATATTATGCTGCCTTGCAACCTAGGATTGCTAGATGTTTCAGATTCCAGGAGGGCTAGTACAAAGTTGACTTCCTATTAGGAAAGATCTCATAGTTGGCTTTAGCTGGCTAGGATAGATAGGGCACATTGATGAAAATTTGATTCAGCAGAACAACCATTCTCCTGCCCTTGCTCCTTCAAATCACTATTTTTCCAGTGGCATCAGAAGTATTATATATTTATTGTACTTAATATATCACCTAGTGCACTAAGCAAAAGTAAAAAACAACCACAATCTTACCTGTATCACCCCATCCAGTGATGTAACAATCAGAAGCTTTCTGTGGCCTCTCCCGCCTGAATGGTAAACAAGCAGGTAAAACATGAGCACTAAAGCGAGTACACTGTTCTTGAGGCCCTTGCAGCCTAACTAATGCGATGTCATAGTCACTGTTATTAGGCCTATATTCTGGGTGTTGCACAATTTCTTCTACTCCAATTTCTTCTTCATACTCCTCAGGTACCAATGTGTGGTAGTCTCCAACACGCACCACATAGTTTCGAGTACTGTTGCCATACCTAAAAGAAGGGGGAATAATTGATGTAGGATTCTGCTCTTATTATTTAATTTAAAAACACTGGAAATTCAGCAAGCGAGAATTAGATTTCCAGTTCAGTAATAATTCAGGAACTCAGTAAAATACAACGGTGCTTAAATGTTGGTAAATCTTTTTAAATTTTCAATATTTTGGTAAAAATATGGCCTAAAATGTGTTATGTTCTCCATACAAGTTCCAAATATAAAGACAACTCAGTTAAGCAAATTAATCAAAATATGATACTTGTCCATTTACTCACTGAGGAAAATAATCCAAGGTTACATATTGTAGTCTATCTGTGATAGACTAGGACAGTTCATCACAGAATACAAGCAGGGATGCAATATATGAAAGGAGACTGAGTTAATTTCCTTTTCTGATTTCTGATTCCTTTTAGCTTTATTGCCACTCACTTGTGGATTTTTGCCCTAATTTTTGGAAAGCTTTTCATTATATGTTCTGATCAGGTCCAAATTAAATTTGATATTAAAAGCCTCTCATAATCTGTTGCATTTCCTCTGTGTTATTTGGTAACTAAGATGAAGGATGTAAAACTAAGACATATTCTGCCAAATATTAGCATGTTCAAATTGTTTCATCCTGACCATTCTGCAGTGTGATATAGATATAGTAATCATACTATATAGATAGAATCGCATGTTGAATGTTAGCATCTTGAAAAGGGAGATATGGCTGTAGCAGTAAAGGGAAAAAAAGCACACAAATATATTATTTCTCTCTGAGTTTTTGAGATAAAGGTGACAATAAGAATCATTTCAATAACTTACATTAAAAAACTTCCTTGTATAGTATGAATATATGTAATCCATATTAAATTATATCTTTTTAATTATGTTGAAATATCCTACTAATCAGATCCTCAGGCTAATGAAGATTATGAAGGTCATGAATTTAACCAAAAGAACAATGTCAGTGTAATAAATTGGCTGTTTTCAGCTGTTTTATAGAACCGTGTTTTTTTCATAATACTTGTTCTACATTTCTTCATAAAGAATGCAATCTTCCCATAAAATGATTAGGTCTAGAGCATCAGATGGAAATAATCTCAAAACTATTTGTGATAGACAATTACTCAATGCATTTGATAACAGTTATTTCTTTTAACACTTGCTACATCTAGAAAGTATCAGGTTCATTTATCTTTTGCTAGCAATTCTTAGATCCAACCGATTAAATGGGAACATAATTCTGCAAGGTATCATCAATGGCTTGACTGTATATGTTCAGTTTTTGGACTAGATGACCTCCAAGGTCCCTTCCAACTTTACTTATATATATATATATATATATATATATATATATATATATATATATATATATATATATATATATATATTTGGTAATAAAAACTATTGCAGCACTATGCAGCATATTGTCCTTCAGGTTCAGGAAAAAGTAACATAGCTTGGAAAAGATTGGGTGTTTTTCTTCTTTTTTTCTGCTTGTTTGCAGATTGATCCTATACACTGAGTTACAGATTTGTGCATCATATGTTTGTTCATTCCAGACTGAGTACATGTCTTCCTCTAAGTTACCCATCTGTTAATTCTGGGAGTTGTATTCCCAAGACATCTGGAGAGTGCCTAATCGGGGAAAGCTGACTTATGTCTATTGATTTGCTTTCAGTTTCCATTCATTCATTTTCATTTATTTATTTTAAACAAATCCAAGCTTTTCAGAATGACATTAATAAAGGCATTTCAGATTACAGAAGCAAAAGCAATTTAAAATATATATGAAATACTAATGTTGTGTTTTAAAAATGCAGCTGTTGTTTCTTTGAGCATAGTTTCAGAGCAATGTCAGAATCGTCCATATATTTTATTATCTTTGTCTTTCTGCATTAAGTTTCTGCATTATTATGCTAACACACTCCTCTAAATTTTGCAACAATACCTCTTAAAACAATGTGCTGCAGTAAGCACCCAGCAACTGCTGATAAGAGTGGCACCACATAGAAGTCTTCCATCTCCATGGGATGATTTAATGCGCAAAGCTACTTGCCAGGGCCAACCACCCCTAGACACAGATATATATATATAATTAGTATGAAAGTTCCAAAGTTAAAAATAAAAATATGTTTATATATTTGTATGAGTGCAAAAAATAGTGTCGTGGAGCATCACCAAACAGAGATATAAACCTGCCCAACCACTTTATTCTGAATTTATCTGAGGATAGTTAAGATATTCAGCCAGCCTCTTTCTACACGTCCATACATTTAAAAAAAAAAAAGCATTTTAGCAAGTTAGTTTTGCAACATGCTCATTTTGGGATTTAGAGCTATTGAAATAATGAGTGACAAATACTGAGGCATATGTGAAAATTCTTGCTAATTTAACAAATAAAATTATTATTTTTAATATATGACACATTCATTTAATTTGAGAATGAGTCACATAGAAAAGTGTACAACTATACATTGTTTTCATCATCATTAATATAATACATAAGACAGCTGTCATCATATTCAAGATAAACCTTGTTAATTTTAGCTTCTCCATGCCCCACCTTGTTTTTAATCAAAGGTGTACTTCTGAAGGAGTTGCATTTTTAAAGATCAAAAACACTAATGAAATTCTGCTCACAAAACAAAGACTTTTCAAATCTGTTTGCCTCTGCAATTCTTCCATTGCACCTAATATTCTAACAAAAATTGGGGACTCTGCAGTTATGTGTTAGAGAAATTGCAACCCAACATACTATTGCAAAATTAAATTAAGACACTGCATATGTGACTGTGTCTTCAGATCTCATTTTTAGCAATTATTGGAGATGCCTAGTAATTTTAATTATTTAGCTAGCAATTGTATGGTCTGAGTCCACAGACTCAGATTTTCACATGTAAGCCAGATGCATCTTCTATTAATGAATTAGAGTCTTCTTTTATATTTGATTGATCTTGTATCACCAAATTGGTGTCAACACATCACACAGATTTTCTCTAGGATCATCTGTCCCTAGCCTGATCCTGTCTTCCACATTTGGAAGAGAATGCCTTCCATGAAGTGCAGATCCTGATGGTTACAACTCATTTTCTACACTTTGTGGAAGGCATTCCCTTCCAAATGTGGAAGACAGGTGACATTCTCCCATGGGATGTAGAAACAGAGCTTAGATCCTGATATTTGAGCTCCTTTTCTGCTCTCCATAGAAGGCATTCCCTTCTACACACAGAGAAGAGATGACATCCTTTCACAAGGTACAGAAACAGAGCTCAGATCCTGGTTAGTTGAACTCAATTTTTGCACCTGTCAAAGGCATTTCCTTCCACATGCTGAAGAGATGACATCCTTTTGCAGGGTGCAGAAATGGAGTTCAGATCCTGAGGATCTGAACATCATTCCTGCACTCCATGGAAAGCATTCCCTTCCACGTGTGGAAAGATGACATTCCTTAATGGGCAGTTCTTTCCTCCAGCCCTAGAGATGAGAGGGAGCTGAAATCCTAGCAGAAAGCAAGAAAGCAGTGTGATGACGTAAGCAGCTTGGGGTGATTGCTGAAGGACTCCCAGCATAGGTCACACATGAGTGTCTCTTCCTCAGGGTCAGAAAATCCTTGGATTTTGGCAAGGAGGATTTTCAGCTCCTGAGCATGGGGTCTCCCCGGGCACCCCATGCTACTTACCTGGGACTTTGCCTGCTTACTGATTGGCATAATTGCTTAACAACCACAAGTGGGAGTGCTGGGATTGAGGTTGTTGAGTAAAGCAGTTATGTAATATTTTGCTTAATGACTATTTCACTCAATGAGTGAGATTCCGGACAATTGTGGTTATAAAATGAAGAGTCTCTGTAATTTTCTCCTTGCTATTGGTTATCTTTTTCTTCTCTTTCCTTCCACATTTCACAGTACTATGGACTTCTTAAGAAATCTAGATCTTCTCATATTACTTATACAGTCCTCGGGTTACAACAGCAATCGGGACTAGAATTGCTATTGCTAAGCATTGCAGTAATAAATCATGACATCACATGACCACAGCAATAAGAATTCAGATCCTAATTGCTGTCGTAAGCTGAGGACTATCTGTATAAGTAATATGTAATGTGGGTCTTTTAAGAAGTGCTCCAAGATATGTGGGTCTTTAACCGGGCAACAATGAGGTGCCATGGGAACCTGCTATAGGAAGGCCTGGTGCAGTCTGTGTGCAAGTGAAGGAAGGCCAGGTGCTGCACAAGTGTAGGAGAGCCAAGGTAAGGGAAGCATTGCTTTGTGATTTTAAATTGGTGTCTGTAACTTACCTTAAGGAGTTTTTCCCACCAATAATCCGTTTTTGGCGACGCTGCAATATTCTTAAACCACATACAGAAGAAAGAGAATCTAAAATAGGGTTCAAAGGAGAGAAGTTAAATTTTCCAACCAGTAAATACAGAGAATACTCCAAATGACAAGCAAAATGATCAAACAATTTTCTCCTAAAAACAACCCAAATACTCCCCGATATTTCTTTACAATTTACAGATAAGAGAATTATTGAACTTTATATTCATTTCACCTTTACTACTGGATGCTTTCTTGATAAGATAGTCACAGATAACACCAGCATCTTCACTGTGACGACAATTATGTTTGCCAATATCCTGTTTAATACAATCAGCAAGGGATCTTTCATTTCCTGTACACTTCACATTATCCACATGAATGGGACCTTTTCCTTCCCCAAAATATGCCATAGTCCTTGCTCGTGATAAACCTCTGGGGGGAAAAAAATATCAATTGGGCAACTTTTAAAATAAATCATAATGGCAACGACAACAAGAACAAGATACGGAATTCATGTGAATCATGTGAATCAATAAACCTCAGTAATTTTCATGTGAATCAATAAACCTCAGTAATTTTCCTCTGCAATCTCTAGTAGGACTGTCCGTTAGATGGAGAAAGGTTTGTTACAGCATTATTTTTCAAAGTATTATTTTATTTAGCATATTAATAATTTTCAAAGGCTATATATATATTTGTATAAAGAATTTTTATTACCAGATTGATTTAATATTAGAAAATAATGATATAATGATTTCTTTTGTTATTCGGATGATAAAACAAAGTTTTACTTAATAGTTATTTTTTAATAATTTTGTTGTTAATAACTTCAGTTTTTAAAAAAATTCAAGACTATCAAAATTAGTGGCAATTTTCACTGAGAGCAATCAGCCATTTTCATTCATCAGAATGGATGAAATATTATATACTAACCCAAACAAAACTTCAGAATTCTTCATTTGACAAAATCAGGGTGAAACCTGACAGATACTGTATAATAATTAACAAATATATCTTATATATGCTTCCATCTCAAGACTCAGATTGAACTGCACACCTCATGGCTGTAATATTTACCAATTTGGGGTAAATCTTACGAACTCTTTATGGTAGCATCTTACATGACAAAGAGTTCAGAAAATATTCAAAGTCCATACATTGTTTTTGTTGGCCCTCATAAAGTTATTATTCTATTCTGAATTTTCATCAGTTTTAAATCCTTGCTGCTAAGTATGTTACCCAGTCCAATATGCCCATGTACAAGAGTACAATATATTTTTCTAGAGCAGTATCACAATATGACAAGCAACAGCAAAAAGAGGAATTTGCAAAACTTGCTTCTTTTGCTTTCCCATTCATGCTACCCATATTAGAGTTTTTGTTCAAGAAAAGGATACATGGCTAATTAATATACTGTAATCATTTTATCTTGCAAGGAATAATAATAGTTTATGTTATCTGTAGATCTGAAAAAATAGTCATCACTTCACTTGCTATAACTAAGAACTAGGCTATAAATAATCTGATAATATGGTATCGTTCATTAACACCATGTGGGTCATTTGATCAAATATAATAGTTGTGTTAGATTATATCTCAAATCTGCAGAAATTTATTTATTTATTCAATAATATCAACTCCAGTAATACTATTTGTAAATGAAGGATATGTGGCATAATTAGAAATATAACACAGCCTGCTTTATCACTAGTTTCTCAGTTACTATTATGACATAATACTACCATATATACTTCTATCTTTTATAAACTAAAAGCATCTCAAGAGACAGATTGGTTTGTACAATGTATAAAGCATTTTAACTGAAGATTTTTCAGAGAAACATTTTATGCATATAGTTGCAGCAAGCAAAATACATTATTAAAATAAAAAGGAATTAAGCCCCTCATAGCTTTAGCTCTTCTATTGTACAATCCCCTGCCTTAGTCCCAGTGAAGGAAATGATGCCACAATAAAACTAATTACTATCTTAAGTATTATAATGTTAACATTTTAGGCACTAAAATGTTTTATAATTCAAATATTTTTACTAAAATAGATCTTTTATGTAATTTAGTCAATTATGTTTACTTAAGGCTGGTTTTATAAAAGCAATAAAGAAAACAGAGTTCATTAAAATTCCAGTAGTCCAGTGCTCAGAACTAAACTGCCCACAAGTGTTGATCTGTATGATCTGCATTTATAGACTAAGACAATACACAGGAGATCTCTTCTGTTTGGAAAATTCTCCCTTTACTCTTAACCTTATACTGATTGCAAAGGATTCAAAGGATTGTATACAATATATTGTATACAAGTTGTATACAATATATTGTATACAATATATTGTATACAACTATATAATTCCCCTACAGCGGTTAACATTTTTTTAATTTTGTATATAAAATAGACTTTAAAAAGATGATGATGAAATGCAGGCAATAATGTAAGAGTTTGTATGTGTGTATGTGTGTTAAAGTAACTAAATATTTTTTATTATCCATTAAAAGCTTCAATTATTCAATTTTCTAAAGGGAAGTTATTCATTCTGAACAAGCATTGCTTATACTTACAATCAAAACAGATTCACAGGTCCGCTTTCCTTTCACTCACTGCTTAGATATTTTTCAATAAACAACAAAAAAATGATACAAAAGTCCTTAATTTTTAAAGATAATTGTCTTGAATTTCCACCTAGTTTCCCATGTTGCTTAGTTAATACGCCACAGAAATCTCTTATTTGGCCATATGCCTCAATTTCCTATTCCCCATACATTCCTATTTTTACAATTAAGACAATATTAAAATGACAAAGCAGTAAAGTGAAAACATAGCATTTATCTTAGTATATGAAATTATCAATATGTTAAGCTATTAATCTGGCACAAAGAATAGATTATACTATGATTTCTGAAAACTGATCTCTTACTTGTAGCCTAGTTGTCGACATACCACAGCTGCATCCTTATCAGACCATCCATCATCACAAATTGTGCCCCATTGGCCATTAATATAGATCTCCACTCGGCCCTCTTTCTTATTCTCACCATCCATCAATCTAATAGGAGGCCCTGGGAATAGATTAATAACTATTGACATAGCCGCAGAGTAGTCTCAAAACATTCAAGGAAAGTTGTTATCTAGAAATAAACATTCCAATTTATATAGCCATATGGGAAAAATATGTTCTCTGAATCTATAACAAACACCTTGAAATCTGACAAAATTAACATTCATTTTTTTAAAAAATATCAATTTTTTTTGCAAACTAGAGTACACAAATAAAACATTTTAAATGTAAAGACTTGAGAAACCCACACAAAAAAATCATAATATATGATCAGCAATTACACACATAAAATTTATTTTTCAGATAACACATATCAAACTTTGTTCCTGGCTATCATGAGTATGTATAATCACAATGTCAGGCAAATATGTGCATGTTGTAATCATTTACACTAACCAGAACACATTCATATCTACGATTTGGTAAAGTTGTTTTATTTTGCGTTTTGCCTCATCAGCTAAGTGGCCTGAACATTCACTCACAAAAGTTTTCAACATTCAATGGGAATTAAAAACAAAAACAAAATTGGTTCCATTATATTTTATCTTTCAGAAAGTTATTATTTCTTTACTATTCTTTCAGAGAATTATCAACATTACACAAGGACCTATTAAACATAATTAATGTCTTATATTATTGAAAGAAAAATCATCAGGGTCCAGTCCAAGCCAGGAATAAACAAAATGGAGACAGCTTAGAAAAGAATGTTCAGTTTATTTAGTTGCCAGAAACCCCAGTGATGGTGGCATGTTTCTGGGGTGGCTGACAAAATGAAGCTTGGAGTGGATGGATTTTTATACCTTTTTGGGGTTTTGTGTTTGGAGTTGTTCCTGTTTGAGGTTGCTCCTGTTCCTGTGTCATGTACTTTGACCTGAGCTTTTGGTATTCTAATGGTGGTAGGTTAATCTTATTATGTCCTAAAGGTCATGTTCTGCTTCGCTGGGGCTGTGACTGAGGGCATTTTGCTTATGAACAGATGGCCTAGTTCAATGATGGCGAACCTTTTAGAGACCAAGTGCCCAAACTGCAACCCAAAACCACTTATGCATCGTCGGATGCCGGGTGGCCCATTGGCTAGGTGTGGCTGCGGTGGTAATGGCAGACTGGGTGGGACTAAAACGTTCAATCAATCAATTCCAACTTTGCAAGATTTTTTTTCCCTGCGAAAAGTTGAAATTGACTGATTGATTGAACCCTTTTTTTTTTTTGCACACAGTGGCAGGGGCCTAAAGCAAAAAGGTTTTATAAAACCCAGATGAAGCCCTAGGAATGGGGCGACGGCACGCGTGCTCACAGAGAGGGCTCTGAGTGCCGCCTCTGGCACTTGTGCCATAGGTTCGCCACCTCTGGCCTAGTCTTTCTGAATAGGATTATCAAATCTGCATTTCTACAGAGCTGGCCTGCTTAGTTTCTGCCTGGGGAAACCTGGGCAGAAAAGCCTTTTAACCCTCCATTATTCCTTTGGGGAATATAATATTCTGCCTTTTTTTTAATATCCCCCCCCCAAATATTTCCTTCTCTAGGAGGGGGGTGCTGACTTCCTACAATATTATACTATACTTTTCCTCCAAAATCTAGCAGTAAAGTATTATAGGAAAGTCTTCCACCACCGGTACTATGATTTTATTATATTTAGAAAATTAAAAATCAACTTTTTAAACTGAGCATTAACAAACAAAAACAACCAAGAATTTTCTATTTACTGAGATTCCAAGGATATACAGTTCTTCCTTTTTAATGTTTTCTTTTTCTCTGAAACCTGTTACTACTACAAAAAAAAATAAAGTGAATATTCTCTGATAAATACATATAGCAGAGACTGTCAATACATTTCAGAAGCTGCTGGATTTCAGCTCTCCTGTCCATTATTCCTAATTTTGATCACGATCCTGCTGGCTGAGTTGATATTTGGACTCCAATAATCTTTGAATGTCCAAGCTTCTCAGTCCTGGAATGTGGTCTCAGTTATGATTATACGTAACTGTTTTTAATGTAAAAATATACTTGCAATCATAACACATTAAAGTAACCATATTAATTAGCTCTCATAAGTAAGCAATTGTTTACCTAGTTCAGGGGTAGGCAACCCAAAACACTCAAAGAGCCACTTGAACCCGTTTCCCACCAAAAACAAAACACTGGGAGCCGCAAAACCCTTTTGATATCTAAAATGAAGATAACACTGCATATATCCTTTTTTATCTTTATTATAGGTGTGTGTGTGTGTGTGTGAGAGAGAGAGAGAGAGAGAGAGAGAGAGAGAGAGTGTTTGTGTATGTGTGTGTGTGTACACACACACACACACACACACACACACACATTAAAAATAAAAGTAAAAATATGACTTTTGGGAATATCCATACTATTAAAACAATGATCACCGAGAGAATGCTTTAAGAGAATAAAATTACATACACACACAGGTAAAAAAAGGATATATGCAGTGTTATCTTCATTTTAGATGTCAAAAGGGTCTCTCTCTCTCTCTGTCTCTCTCCCTCCCTCCCTCTCTGCCCTTGGTCTGCCACTCCTCTTCCCCCACTCTCTTTCTTTCTCTCTCTTTCCTCTCTCTCTCCCCCTCCCTCTCTCTCTCTCTCTTTCTCTCTCTCTCTTTCTCCCCCCCCATCTGCTGCTCACCTGGCAAGCTTCAAGTTGTTCTCCAACAACCTCCGGGGTAGGCAACCTCGTCTCTTTTATGACTCATGGACTTCAACTCCCAGAATTCCTGAGTCAGCCTAGCTGGGCTAGCTAGCTTTCTCCTGCCCTTCCTGCTTCCTGCTGAGACGCAGCAAAGGGAGGAGCTCCGCCCAGAAAGCTTTTCAGCTCCTCGGAGAACAATGTGAGTTCACTCTCTCTTACACATATATATACACACACACACACACACACACACACACAAAACACACACACACCCAGACACACACACACACACAGAGAGACAGAGAGAGAGAGAGAGAGAAGCAGGGAAGTGCAATTGCCTCTCTCTGTCTCTCTCTGCAAAGGCAGAGGAGGCTGGGAGCCACAGGGGAAGGCTCAAAGAGCCGCATGCGGCTCCGGAGCCGCAGGTTGCCGACCTGTGACCTAGTTCATAAATATTACGCTAGAGCAAAACTAATCAGCCTTTATGAAAGAGTGAAGTAGTGGATGAATATTCTCAAATTAATTCTGGAAATCTTTATGCTCTTATAAATGTTTTATTTATTTTTACCCAACTGAATTCTGTTTAATGGAGCTACTATTTTTAGAAAATCTGATTCAGAAAAAGAAAAAATAATGTGACAATATATTTGTCAAGGTTTAATTCATTGGAAACATTTATAATAGAAATCAAATTAAATGATCCTCTGATTTCTGCAACTTTCATTAATTTATTTGCACATCAATAAAAAGCTCGCTTTA